CCGTCAGCGACAGCTGCTCGGCGCGACCCCCATTGCGCGCCGGACGAAGCGAAGCGGCCCAAGTGGCGGGCGAGCAGAGCGGGGGAGGCCCTGCGCACCGGGGCCCTGCAGCCAGGCGCCTGCAGCACATGGGCGGGCGCTCTGAGCTGGGAGGCAGCGAACGCCTTCCATCGGCTCGACAGGGCTACGCCGCGACCTTCATTCTGCTACGCGACGGGCAGGCGCCGCGAGGCGCGCCGCGAGCTCGAGCTCGCGCTGCGCTGCGCTGACGCACAGGCTCGACTACGACCTGCGCGAGGAGTGCCCGCGCAGCCAGGCGGCGGGCGACAATGCTACGCTCATCGCCGACGCGCGGTCGACGCCGCCGAGACTCGCCGCGATATGTCCCCCGCCAGCGGGCGACGCGCAGTTTTGCGACACGGCCCCAGGGGAGAAGGCGCTGCGCCACTTCCGCCGAAGGGGCGACGGCGACACTGTAGCCTTGCAGCTTCTCGCGATCGCGCATGGATTGAACATTTTCGCGAGGCAGCTTGCCGGGGGCGCCGCAATGGGTTTCAGCGGGGGCACAGGTGCCGAGAGTGCGACGGCGCGGAAGTCAGCGGCCACGGGGAGCTACAGCGCCGCGGCACATTGGCCTTCGCGTTTCGCCGCCGAACATGTCTCGGCACGCGGCTTGAGAGAGCCCGCGCGACAAATAATATACCCGACCGCCCGTCAAGGAAAGAGCATGGCTAGCTGCGAGCCGTCGGCGCGCGCAGAGTCGAGACGCGGCTGGACGGTCCGTTCATCCAGCCCGCGGCCTGGGAGCCTCTCGCGCTTTGAAGAAGCCCACCTTCTTCGCGTTGGTTCGGCGCGACAGCTCGCGCGCGGGCAGCGCGCGCGCGATTGGCACCCGGGCGACGGCAGCGCGCGCGACGCGGCGTCGCGCACGCCACCCCAGTCATCTCTCGCCAGGTTGCGCTTGAAGGGTGGCCGGTCACCGCGCTGGCCACTGTCAATGGTTCTACATGAAGCACTCAAGGCCGCCATGGTCGCAGCGCGCCGAGGCCAGGCAGCGCGCGAGGGCTCGGCGCGCTGCCCCGCAGGCGCGCCCGTCGCCGCGGGCGCGGCGGCTGGAGGGCGCGCCCCCGCTCGCAGCCGCGCGCCGGCGGAACGCATGGCAACTGGCGCTCCGGGCCCACCCAGGCCGCCGCAGGCTCGCAGCGCCGGCCCCGCGCGCCCCAGCGCCCCCGCGCGCCGCGACTCGCGCGGCGTCTGCCCCCGGCGTCCTCGGCCGCCTGGTCGCGCAGGCCGCGCGGCCCACGACGCGCGGGCCCTGGGCGGCGCCCGCCGAGGGAGGCCGCCGCGCGCCTCCGAAGTCTAGCAGATGCGGCACGCTGGCGGGAGGCAGGGCGCTGTCGCGCCAAGCTGCAAGCACGCGCGCGGTCGCTCCCAAGCGTGAGAAGCGGCCTCGAGTGCTGCGAGGCTTACGGAGCCAGGGTGCTGCATGGCCCGCGCACGCCACCCCCGCCAGCCTGCGCGGACCCACCCAGGGCGCCCTCTTTCGCTGCAGGGAGACGCGCGCGAACTATTGCGGCCACATACGAGGAATCGGGCGTCTCCTGCAAGGGGTCTGCGTCGCCGCGCTCGACCGCCCCGATGTCCGGCGGGCGCGCGCCGCCGCGCGGCCGCGGGCCGATCGGGCCAAGCACCCGCGCTCATTCATCCGAACGTACGCGGTCGCCGCCCTGGTCAAGTTGGGCGCGCGCCGCCCCGAGCGGCTTCGCGCCTCGATGGTTTCCCTCTTCGCCTATACGCCTCTGTGAAGCCAACAGGAGGCGTCCCAAAAGGCCCTCCAAAAGCAAAAATCGTCCCATTCCCGCATGTCGTTTAACACGTTCGCCTCTTGGGCTTTCACGAGGCCCACACGGCCCAAGAAGCCCATAACATCGACCCAAGATAGCCCAAGAGGCCCCCAAAAGGGCTTCAAGACGGCCCAAGAGGGCCCCAAGACGGCCCCAGAAGCTTCCAAAACGACCCAGGAGGACCCCAGGACGGCCCCAAGAGGAGGCCCAGAGGGGGAACCCCAATGAACATTTCGAGCACTCGGCCCCGAAAAAATCCGAGGAGACGCCAATAGGCCCCCAAGAGGCTCCCACGAGCCCCCCGAGAGACCCCCGAGAGGCTCCGAATAGGCCCCCGAGAGACCCACGAGGCCCCGAACCAGCCCCCAAGAGACCTCAAAACTGCTGCCAGGAAAGCCCAGAGAAGCCCAAAAGCAGAGCTTCGATCTGCCAACCGCCCCCGACGAAATCCCAAGAAGCTGAAACCCCAAGACTCCCCAGAAATCGTTCCGCAAACTCCGTTTTTCACTCTTACTGCCGCCCCAAGGGGTCGACGGTGCGGCGTCAGCCAATAAATCTTCATGCTAGACATCCGCCTTGGCAACCTGGACGCGTGAAAACAAGCGTCTCGCTCGAGACATCGTCAACACATCCTCATGTTAGACATCCGCCTGGGCGACCTGGACACGTGAAAACAAGCTTTTCGCTTAACACATGCTCAACACATCCTCATGTTTGAAATCCGCCTGGGCGACCCGTACACGTGAAAACAGGCGGTTCGCTCGAGACATCCTGAATACATCCTCATGTTAGACATCTACCCGGTCGACCTGGGCGCGTAAAAGCAAGGGTTTGGCTCAACACATCGTCATGCTAGATATTCGGCTGGGCGACCTGGACACGTGAAAACAAGCGTCTCGTTCGAGACGTTCTCAACAGATTGTCATGCTTGACATCCGCCTGGGCGCCCTGGACACGTAAGAACAAGCGTATCGCTCGAGACGTTCTCAACACATGTTCATGCTAGACATCCGCCTGGGCGACCTGGACACGTGAAAACAAGCGTCTCGCTCGAGACATTCTCAACACCTCCTCTAGCGAGACATCCACATGGGCGACCTGGACACGTGAGAACAAGCGTTTCGCTCGAGACATCCTCAACAAATCCTCATGTTGTACATCTGCCTGGGCGACCTGAACACGAGAAAACAAGCGTTTCGCTCGAGCCTTCCCCAACTCTGCAAAACCAGCGCTTCGGTCGAGACATCCTCAACAAATTATGTGAAGCAAGCGTTTGGCTCGGGACATCCTGAGAAAAAGATCCGCCGGTCCCCCCTCGTCGTTCATCCCAGAAAACTCCGCCGGCGGCCCACCCACCCCCAGCATGGCATCTGGGACAGTTACGCTACTAAAAGAGAAACGGGAGCCTCTGCCCTTTCTGGGGTATAGGAAAGAGAACTATGCACGTGCACCGACCCTGACAACGCCCATCCTTGACCCAGGATCGGTGCATATACCTTCCTGGCCAAGGCAAGAGGGCGTATGCACCGATCCTGGGCTCAGGATGGTCCTGGCCAGAATCGGTGTATGTGCATAGTTTTCTTTCCTCTATGGGGAAAAGAAAACCCAGACAGGTCCTGGAGGGCGATTCGACAGGGATCCCGAGGCGAACGCAGCCGCGAGGGCAGAAACCAAAACCCTAATGATGACGAGCAGGGCAAGGAATATTCTCAGAGGTCACACGAGGATATTCAACCCTGCCTTCAATCAGCACGCCGTAGAAAGGGGTGATCGCCAGCACACCTATGATTTACAGCCACTGGGAGCCGTACATCACCATGATCCACCAAGGCGAAGCATTGGCATCGGGAAGGGGGGGGGG